TACTCTGACAGGACAGAACCTCGAGGCTTGCTGGGATGTTTTTGGTTAGCCTGCCAGGAAGCTGCTTTGTGGAGCTGTTGCTCGACTCCTGTTGATAGGTGGATGCTAGGGTGATGGCTCTGGTTTTTATTGTCATTCAGTGGTTGTTCTGTCAGTTTTTTTTTCTTTTTGTTACTTTGGCATACACACAGCTCATTTCAAGTTGGGGGCTTGTCCTACATGATTTGGCTATTCTACTACCTGTATAATGGGTAGTTTTTGTACACTTTTCTTTAAGTAATGAAATCATCTTTAGAGCCTTTCAAAAAATTAAAAAAAACTTATGTTGGAATACTCTTTTACTTCTGTCTTTCTTCACATCTATATTCATGAAACTAACAAAGGGTATCGAAATATTAATTACCTCAAATTAATTAAGAAGAAGAACGGTTTCAAGCCGTCCAATAATTAAGTACAAATGTTAATGAAATAAATGACATAGATAGGATAGAATTAAGTTAGAGATTTTACATAGTGCTCTCCAATAAAAAAAAAGAATTCTATAAAGTATATTTTCATGTCTTGGATCTATTTATTCTCCCAATGTAGCTAAGATCTTTGTACAAACCCTTTTCCAGAGCTAGATCCAAGCACCATGGATTCACTACCTACGCAACAAAATATTGCATCAAACGAAGAAGAGGACTGCTTGCAAGCCATGCAATTAGCAATGGCTACAGCATGATAATCAATGGAGGCGGGGCCAACAAGAAGATGTTTAGTACCTGCTCTGATACCATACAACGAATGGGGCCAACAAGAAGATGTTTGAGATATTGACGGAGATGTTTGCGGTTCTAATTAATTTATTTTGTTCATTTTGGGAGAATAGAAATTTCTCTTTCACCACAGAGAAAAGTTAGCATGTTATTTGAAATCTGCCCTTGTAGATTTGGAAAAAAAAAGAAAACTACATTAACTACATATATTCTGACTGATTAATCATTGACTTGAAGATGTTTCAAATTTCTACCAATCATAGTTCTGTAATACGTCATTTGTGTTTAGATATCTCTCTAATTTTCCAAAGAAATGACAGATTCGTGTTCAGAAAATTAAAGTAGGTATACTGTTGTCCATCTAGCATGCAAATTAAGGTTTTCTATATATTGGACAAAATTAGGGTCAAATTTCTAAGATAAAATTTAGAAAAGGTTTGCTTAAGGAGGCAAGACTTGTTACCAAAGTCAAGGCAAATTTTGAGTTGCACAGATGAGAAAGATACAAGTATTTGACATTTCATTTTGATTTGAAGATGGAAGAATTTGAATTTGTCTCTTTAAATCAAAAGATCACATATCGACCACTGGTCCTCAAATGAACAGAGGCGGTGGTTAGCAACCTTCTCCAACACCAACTTGACTATGTAATTACATGAGCGTGGAATCGCTGGCACTCTTATCTGACAAATTAAGATTTTCTATATAATCTGTCGGTGCAGTACCAGACTTTTCAGTATTCCAAATACATAGCTAACACTTCATCACTGCACACTTTTGCGTTTCCATATCCCATACTCAAGAAAAAATGAGTTCAAAAGTAGACAATCTGAATATTACAGCAAATGAAGAAGAAGAAGAATTTCATCAGGCAATTCATCTAGCTACGTCTACAGTTCTCCCTATGGTCTTGCAAGCTGCCATCGATCTTGATTTGTTAGAGATAATTGCAAAAGCTGGCCCTGCAGACTGCAAGCTCTCTCCTATTGAGATTGCCTCTCACCTTCCTACGCAGAACCCTGATGCTTCATCAATCATTGACCGCATTCTTCGTGTTCTTGCCAGTCACTCCATTCTAACATGCGGTCTTGCCACTAACGAAGATGGACATATTCAAAGATTATATGGTTTAGCATCCATCGCAAAATATTTCCTTCACAATGATGATGGGATTTCCGTTCTTCCGGCACTGGCCATTTCAACGGACAAATTTTTGCTTGAACCTTGGTATTATTCTTTCATTCCGTAATTAAATCTCACTCTTCTCTTTCCATGATTAGAATCTAATACACTTTCAAGTTGAAAATTCAAATTCTTAACTATAGGTAAGGGACTCCTAATTATTGTTGTCCTGTTATAAGCTTAATCGGGATTGACTGTATTTGCATTTGTAGACAAAATACTTCTAATCCTTTTATGTCAAATTTTATTCAGAGTTCACCTTAAATTAGTTTCTTGTAGTTCACTTAATTAAATTAAAATCATGTCGATATTGCAATATTGTTCATAATAGTGAACAAATTTTGTTGTACATGCGCTTATGCAGGTATCACTTGAAAGAAGCAACATTGGAGGGTGGCGCCATACCCTTTGTCAAGGCATATGGGATGGACTTGTTTGAGCTTGCTGCCAAAAATGACGAAATAAGTAGTAAATTCAACAATGCAATGGCCAACCAGACTGCCATAATCATGAAAAAAGTTCTGGGAATATATAAGGGGTTTGAAGGCGTAAACCAACTTGTAGATGTGGGAGGTGGATTGGGTACAAATCTCAAGCTGATAGTTTCCAAGTATCCGCAGATTAAGGGCATTAACTTTGATTTGCCCCATGTTATTAAAGATGCACCCCATTTCTTGGGTAATCAATTCAATACATAATTCTCCCATCTTGCTATTATTCGGAGGTTTTTCATTTTGTTGTATTGGAGTTGTTTTGTTTGGTATTTTAGCACAAAAATTTTAGAAGAGAATAAATAGTTTTCTCTGCCCTCAATGAAATTTAATTTGTTTTCTAAATTTCTTTCCCAATTCTGACTGGTTTGGAGAAATAATTTGTTATTTTTCCTTTTTACATTTTAGGTATTGACCATGTCGGAGGAGATATGTTTATTGAAGTTCCTCAAGGAGACGTTATTTTCATGAAGGTTAGTATATATATATTTATTTGCTTAATTTATACCATGAAGTCAAATGAATATAATACAAAAAATATGTAATTCAATATATATTCTTTGAATTACATAGATTCGACCATTAAATTTGGTATCTAATTAATCTAAGAAGTAAATTTTTAACTTAAAATTTTGTAGTGTATACTTCACGATTGGGATGATGATCGATGCTTGAAGTTATTAAGAAATTGCTACAATGCTCTACCAAAGTTTGGTAAGGTGGTAGCAGTGGAATCAATTGTGCCAGAGTCTCCCATGACTGACATTGTGACCAAGAATACCTTAACACTTGACATATGCTTGTTTAACGTTGTCCCTGGTGCAAAAGAAAGGACAAAGGAAGAGTACAAGGCATTGGCAAGAAAAGCTGGATTCTCAACTTTTAAATTTGTTTGTCGTGCTTATGGCTATTGGGCGATGGAATTCCACAAAAATGCTATTGCCTGATCTGTAACAATCGTTAACTGGGATTTATGATTTGATAGTACGAATGTTTGACTTTTAATTTTTTTAATATAAAATGATTTTAAATAATACGAAAAGATTAATGAATTTTTAACTATCTTATAATCTTATTATATTAATTTCAAAATTTATCATAATGATTGAAATTATATAAATTCTCATACTCTATGAATGATTGAGATTACAGAATTATATACAATTACTATACGTGAAATGAAATTAGTTAAGGAAAGTCATTTTCATTTATCTTTAATTTTAATTACAAAAGTAATTAGTAAGGATATAAGGTAAATTTTTGAGAAATATTTTACATTCGAATTATAATATTTTCTCTTATATTAAAAATGCAAGGAAGAAAAGTTGTTGGTGTCAGAGCTACTGCAAGTTTGCGTGGGTTCTTTGCCCAATGGCTTTGCAGTTTGAAGGCGGATCTCAGGCCCTGTTCTAAGGGCAAATCCAGTTAACTGTCGTGGCCCACTGTAACGAATTAGCCATCTGAGGATTAGAACTCTTAAAAACATGGGCTTTTAGTTCCGATTCTGTCTGTGTAGCGGTTTTCTTTTTAAAAAAAAAAAAAAAATTGGCCTAAAATTGGGTGCAATATTAGAGAGAAATTTTTAAAAAAATGGTAATCAATTTTTGGTTACATAATTGTTAAATTGAGATACATTATATACCAAAAGTTTTTTTTAATATCGAGGATCATCTCATAAGATTTGGTAAAATTTTTTTAAGATTAATTATAAATAACATTTATATATGTAAAATAAAGAAAAATTGACAAATGTTATATTGTTTGACAGAATTGAAGATTATAAGATGTAAATTGAAAAACTGATTTTTTTGTTAATTTGAACATTTAACATATTCCTTAATAATATAGATCTTTAAATAAAATATATATATTTATATTAATTTATTAATTAAAAAATAAAAATATTTATTATGTTAAAATTAAAAGGAAATTTGATTTTTTAGTATTTTTTTAAAAAAATCTAAAGATTGAAATTCGTAAAATATAATTTTTCATGTTTCAACTTTACAAAATAAATTTTTTTTTTAATAATTAATTAAAATTAAATTTATAAAAAGTGTATAGTTTGTATCATACGGCACGTCTCTATAACATAAAATATGTATTGCATATTGTACGATATATTTTAGATACTTAGTTAAATAAGATGCAGTTAGAAATATGCATTATTTTTTATTGATTTCGTGGCATATTGTATAATAATGATAATTATAATTGGTTATAAATATATGATATATTGATGGTATAGATTTGCTGTAATAAGATATTTCTGTTTAATATGTTTTTGTTCGTATGCTTGTATGGTTGAGGGCTGTCCTTTGAATTAAGAATTTGTCAGAGGCAGCAATAATTTTACCTTTATTTATTATTAGCTCTGGCATGGGCAGTTAAAGTTTGAAGTCTACTCTTAATTAAACTATTATCCAATATTACCCTCTCGCAGGGGCATTGACAAACAAAAGCCTCAGGAGGTAGTCATTTTAATTGAATTATAAGTTACACAAACTTATATTTATTTCACTTCCTTTTCTAGTAGTGTATATAAGGCTGGCTTTTCCTGAATATATGGATGGAAAATTGCTATTTGTCATTCCAAACTTACATAGCTAAACCCTTCTGCAAACACTTCTACAAATCCAGATTGAAGAAATTAACATCATGAGTACTTCACTACCGGGCCAACAACAATTTATATCAAAGGAAGAGGAGGATTGCTTGCAGGCCATTCAATTTGCTACTTCAACAGTGCTACCTTTCGCCTTGAAAACTGCCATTGATCTTGATTTGTTAGAGATCATAGCAAGAGCTGGTCCAGGTTGTATGCTTTCTCCTGCTGAGATTGTCTCTAACCTTCCTGCTAAGAACCCTGATGCTCCAGCTATAATTGATCGTATCCTTCGAGTTCTTACTGCTCACTCTATCTTAGCTTGCCATCTTGTCACCGATGAAGATGGACACACAAAAAGAACATATGGTATAGCTTCAATCGGCAGATGCTTCCTTCAAAATGAAGATGGAATTTCTGTAACTCCATTCCTAAACATGGCTCTTTATAAACGTTTCATTGACAGTTGGTTCGTCCTTTACTCCTTTTCCTTCAAATTTTCCTTGAGTATTTATGGGATTTGTTACATT